ACAATTGTTGCCATTGGTTTTTTCTTTTTATATAGCTTTCGTGCTTCATATAGATTACAAAAAAGCTTTACTGTGACGTTATTTCTTGCTGTTTCACTTGCTAAGCTGCCTAAACTTTGGGTTTAATTGTTTCAAATTTTTTTGGTGAAGATTTAAAAAAATTTTTTATATGAGCTGAACGGTTTTAATGGTTACGTTTTTGAGTTAAAAATAATTTTGTCTCAAGCAGTAATTCTTGCCTAAAAAAAAATAAAGTAAAAATTTCCATCAATTTACTTTCAATCGACAGCTGTTTTATGTTTGAACCAATACAGCTTTATGGTACTGTTGAACATTGGCTTAATTTTGATTACTATAATAAGTTTTTAAACTGTTGTGGTCACTGAATATTATACCTTTCGATATCAGTTAACAAATGCTGAATTTAAACTGTACTGTTATGTTGCAGATCCTTTAGTCTTTTTCTTATTAACCTTTATCTCCTGAAGCGCCTTTTCATAAGCGGTTCAGAGAAATACAGAAGACAATTTTTTGCAGTTTTTAGAAAAATATATATATGTTCTATCTGAGAAAATAAGGGAGACTATTACAGAAGTAGAATTCGATAAATTCAACGCTGGAAAATTAAATGACTATCAAAATATACTGAACAGATAAAATGATGGGAGACCAGTACTTTCGATAGACAAATCTGACGGTGAACGTTTATAGAGGCCAGAGAACAGAAGTTATCTTTCAGAGCAGAAATCTTATTCCATAATAGTAACTGTGACTAAAGCTTACACTTCACAGGCACAGTTCAGTCAGACATACATTTCCACTGTGAGAAGAGCAACCGTAGAATAACAGCAGTTTCACAGAGCAGATAACAATCTGAGAGAACGATTCAGAGTGATGCTAACTTTTCTACATACACTTTTTTCGGTTTTGAAATTTATAAGGAGTATAAAGAGGTAACATTAGTTAGGAATGGGCTTCAACACAAACACGTGATTATCGTCAGGATGCTGTGCTAATGCGTATGATGCGCTCAAGAAATCATTATATTTGCCTCACTACAAATGTGACGTTTCAGCCTCTCCTGTGTGTATTTGACCTATTTCTCATAAAGACCTATAAAAAAGTTCTCTTATTGCCTCAACTGTCAATTAATAATCTATCGACAATTTTTAGGTCTTGTCTAACTACTTCTCGTGTTATGTTAATAAACTTCTACAATCGACTTGACCGATAGATCACGCAAAACATAACAAACATAACTTTGAGTAGAATAACCCATCAGAAACTCAAAAAAGCTAACTGAAAAACGAAAAATTGTCTTTTATATCTTATATAACTCTGATTTTAAACTTCGCTTTATTTGACGTCAAAAAAACTCGTATTTCTTCTCCTCTGAACCCTCTTTTATTTGCTGCACTTGAGTGAAAAGAGAGCAGGAATAACTGTTTTTCTGCTCTATTGCCGATACAGTGGTTTGACACAGAAGCAGAATTAATCTTATGTAAAACGTCTAGTCCTAAAGTGTAATAGCAATAATGAACTGTCAAAAATCGTTAGAGAATTCAAAAAAAAAAAAAAAAAAA